AGTCCAGTTTCCACCTTTGCCGAAATAGGCTGGTATTATGGAGTTACATTTCGGCTTGACTAACGAGTCTATGCATAGTCCAATCAAAATCGCGCACCGAAATTCGTAAAGTGTCATGCAGATTTCGGTCGACTGCAGGATTTGCAAAGCATGTTCACCGCTAACTCGTTGTCAACAGATTTTTTCTAAATCTTTTCATGTTTTTAATCAAGGTGCTCACGTGATTTGATGCACTTCGCGTTGTATGTCTCGTTTTATCACAATATAGATCTTCATTATCGATCAGATCGTCTTGACTGGGCGCCAACCGTTTTTGTTTGAAGCAAATGCAAGTTATACGAGAGGTTGAATCTGATTGGTCAATAGGAGAGGCATAGAAAGGACATAACTCGTAATAGCCACTGGTGGCGCTACGAACGAGCCCAGGAATTCCCAGCCTAGTTCGGCAAGGGTCGAAACTGGACTTTTAAAGTCAGTTAACTCTCTTGCCTCGGGAAGATGGGTTTCACTGTGCATGGTGTAATTATAAACCACCAGGGAAGGGTTGAGCGAGTGTCCGAAGCTGCACTCACATGAATCAGGGGTGTCATTAAACAAGAATAAAGTAATTATGAAAACGTGGTAAAAGGTTCACAGGTTTATTAGTTTATAAGTTTAAATGGCGACTAACGGGATCGGGTGGTCAGGCTCGCTGACTTGGTTGAATGCATGTCATTCTATCCAATTGCGTGGATCGATGCTCATGGTGTCGATCACTGGATTGGCTGGTTATCGTTTATTTACAGATCGACGTCATATAGCTGGAATATTGCTGAATGCGGCGTTAAACAACAGACAAACCAAACCAAACTTTATTTACTGATCGAATACAGGCCTCACACATACATGAACTCTACTGCTGTGAATAATGCATGGAAATGTGCTACGTGTCCTATATTGTTTGCCATGTTTATTGCTGATGTTACACATTTGGGTAGCAGTTGCAAATTTGAAGCTACCTGAAGCAGAAGTTTAAGCAGAAGTATCTACAATGTCTCTTCATTAGTTTAGAATTACCCAATAGACGGGACAATAATACATGCACCAAAATATAACGATCAACACCAAATATGAATGACCTGTAGCATGTGTCTAAATTAATTATCTAGAGACCTGAAACTTTAAATTGAACGTCACTCGGCGGTCCCTGCACAATCATAAGCAAATCACCAATGAACAGACTCATAGGATAAAAAAACTTCTTCAATGAAGAGTCCCCACAATCAGTGCGACAGAGCTGACATGTCCTGCATTCCCTGTTAAGTTCATACTGCTTGTGTGTTGAAGAATGATTTTTTATCTTCAGGCACACAGTACTGCCATTCTTGGTTGGGGGGGGGGGGGGGGGGGGGGGGGGGGATTCTTGTCGGAGTACAGCTAGAAGGAAGGTCGTATCCATTAAACGTAACTTCTGGAGTATTTCGTTTGCATTGTTGTCTCTACTGACTCCGATCCCCAGACGTGCAGTATGGAAGTCAGATCCATGAACCTGAATAGAAGTTTGCCCATGTTCCGCCTATTTATAAGAATGACCATTTCCTTTCCACAGTAGGTATTCTCATCATAAATCTTAATCCTCTCAAAATTGGAGTTGGTCTTTTTGTTTGTTTGTTGTTTTAACGCCGCATCCAGCAATATCCCAGCTATATGACGGCGGTCTGTAAATAAGCGAGTCTCAAGTCAAGGCAATCCAGATGATTGACATCATGAGCATCGATCAACTCAATTCCGTGCTTGTAAAAGGACAAGAGGAAATGTAACATGGAATATTATTTGTCGACCAGTTTCAATAGACAACTTGAATCTGTTGCATCGTTATTTCGCTATTAAAGCCCGAAATGAAGTGATAAGTCGAGAGATAGATTTAGTCTCGACATCAAGCAAGGATCTGAAGCATTTATGTTGTGGAACATTATATGAGTTATAATACAGTTATACAGTGTATTTAGGAGATGCCCCGCCGATTTACAAAATACTCTTGATTCAATTGTACAATACTACCCCACCCCCCACACCCGGGTAGCTTATGTATTTCATAGAAAGATGATAAGCGCAAGAGACTGAACTAATTAATTTCCCTCCTGATTGCCTTATAATTATCTAGGCATTTGATACCATGATTTTCCGAAATATGGGGAAACTGAAATCTACAAATTATTGAGTGAGTTTCATTAAAAATGTCTGATATGTGCGACCTTATAACTTTCCTTCAGTTTTAGATTTTATTTTCTATTTTGTTGCCAGGCTCTGTCAAAGCATAGACTTATATATTTACAGATAGCTTTTTTAAGCGGTTAGTGTCTATCAAAAAAGAATATGTCGAAATATATTAATAACATATTTAAAGCTGTAAGATAAGATGAAACAGAAAGGAGGATATACGTGTAGTTTTCCCAACATGGTATTCACATCTTGTCACATATTTATTATGTATGTATATATGCATAATTTTTGTACTCTCTTGTACCACAACCGGTGATTGAAGACAATAAAACTGCTCTGTTAAAACGGCACCTGGACGCTATCAGACAAGAGGCCACACACAAGCTTCACGAGATAACAGAGAAAAAAAGAAAATTGCTGGAATCATCAGATTGTATGTACACAGATACAGCAGTATCCAAAGCATGCCTTTATTGTTAAACAGGCATGATCTTGATTCTTTGCGAGCAATCAGTTGCATCTTGCTCTCTGTAACATGGCATGCATGCCTATCTCTATATTGATTTATTGTTTAACGCCTGATTCAACAATATTCCAGCTATATGAAGGCGGGGTGTAAATAATCAAGTCTTGACTAGACAATCCAGTACAATCGGGATACGATAAAATGCTTCCCGTTAGTCGCCTCAAACGCCAAGCATGGGTTGCTGGAAACAAATTGTAACCTGGATCTTCACGGGAGATTATTACTATAGTATCCACATAAACATAATAAGCAAAGATTTGGTTGGTTTGTCGTTTAACGCCGCACTCAGTAATATTCCAGCTATATGACGGCGGTCTGTAAATAATCGAGTCTGGACCAGACAATCCAGTGATTAATATCATGAGCATCGATCCACGCAATTGGGATCGATGACATGCATCAACCAAGTCAGCGAGTCTGACCACCCGATCCCGTTAGTCGCCTCTTACGACACGCATCGTCGCCTTTTACGGCAAGCATGGGTTGCTGAAGACCTATTCTATCCCGGATCTTCACGGGTCTAAATAAACAAAGAAATGGCGAGTGTATTATCAGGTATTTCTTTATTGAAGGTTCCCTACAATCAGTGCAACAGAGCTTACGTGACCACCATTCCCTGCAAAGCTCATACTGACTGTGTTTGAAGAATGTACTACATTTGTAGGCACTAAATATTCCCACATTTCCCATTTGGTTGGGGCGTTGTTCTTGTCCGAGTCATACAACATGAAGGTTGACTGCAGCTTATTTCCATTTATCGTGACGCTCTGAGGCTTCCCAGTTGCGCCGTTGGATCTGCTTACCCCGACCCTCAAACGTGCAGTATGGAAGCCAGATCCCTGTACCTGGATTGTGGTTTGAGCATGACCGTTATTTATTGGTATGATCATATCCTTTCCAAAGTGGGTATTCTCATTATTTGTTCTTAAGCCTCCAAAATTGTAGTTGGTCTTGAATTTGTAGATACAGCTTGACTCTCCTGGGAGGCCGATATGTCCATTGTTCTTGTTGGTGTCAAAGTGGACATTGGAATGCATTGCTGCGTTGCCATTCTGGTACTGAATGCATGTGGATTCGCCAGTTGTTGGGTTAATCCAGCCATTGTGGAAGTCCAGCTTTACATTCTGCCATTGTTTGCCATAGTTATGAAGGAGGACCATCATCTCTTTGTTATTCGGGTTCGCTAGAGCTAGAGGTGCCACTTGTCTCTCCCACCCCGTGTAATCACTCGAAACTTTGAGAAACTTCTGGTCATAGTACAAATTGTGCCAGAATTTGAAGAAGTTTGCAATTGGTAGTTCACGCCCATCTCTAGTGAACATGGACCAGTTGAGGCTATTGTGGCCTGGATATTGCTCATTGGACAGAAGGAAGACAACGACTCTTTCCATAAACTCCCTGAGGTTGAGATAAGTGAACATTTGTGCATTTGACAAGTAGAGGGTCCCAAAGTCTACAATGCCAGAATGAGCATCCTGGCTGATTCCGTGAACTCCACCTCTGCCGAACTCGCTGACGATGATAGGAAAATTCTTCCCTTTCTTTATGTGAGAATAGTTTTCTATCATGTCAATCACTGCAACCAGACGTGCTTCATTGATACCAGAAAAGGAATGACTTCCACCGGATACATGGATGTCGTTGTAAGCATGGAAGGAGAAGAAATCCATGTGATCCAGAGACATGTCCAAAAACTTCGCAGCTCCCTTCCAGAAACTGAAGTTGTGATCATCCGCCCTGGCAAAGTAACCTGTGTATGTTGGTCCACCCACCTTCATGCCAAATCTTGACTTGAGCTTTTGTGCCACAGCTTTATGGAAGTTGATCACAGTTGTGGAGTCAAGAAACTTATATGAAGCGTCGGGTTCGTTTATGACTTCAAAGAAAGCTGGGAGATGTCCTCCAGTGAAATCCTTGGTACCCTGAACCATCAAAGACACGAATTCCGCCGCAGCATCTACGTTATTAGGGAACTTTCCTTGGTGGTGGGACGTGTCTATCCAATTGGGCCAGCTGAGACCTGTCACGGAAATTTAGATACTGTAAGTAGTTTTTTTAAATGTAATAAATATATCAATGATGAGTGAGTGAGTGAGTGAGTGAGTGAGTGAGTTGGGTTTAACGCCGCTTTTAACAGTATTCCAGTCATATCGCGGCGTGTCAGCTTAATGTGGGAGGAAAGCCCGAAGTGATGCAGGTCTCAGACGTTTACCACTTCGGTGAAACCCACGAGCACGGGTGTGGTGCTTACAAACCTAGAAACATTATTGGGGCGAACCGGGATTCGAACCCACAATCATAGGTTTCTGGCGTGCCCAAGGGAGGCAACTCTGCACAGCGAATCGCGGCGCCTTAGACGACTGGGCCACCCGTGCCCCCATCAATGATGAGTATGGTTTTACGCCGCTTTAAGCAATATTGCTGTAATATCCGGCGGGGGACACCAGAAATGAACATTACACATCTTACCCGTGTAGGTTGGTTGGTTAGTTGTTTTACGCCACACTGAGCAATATTCCAGCTATATGACAGCAGTCTGTGAATAATCGAGTCTGGACCAGACAATATCATGAGCATCGATCCACGAAATTGGGATCGAAGACATGCATCAACCAAGTCAGCGAGCCTGACCACCCGATCCCGTTAGTCGCCTTTTACGACACGCATAGTCGCCTTTTACGGCAAGCATTGGTTGCTGAAGACCTATTCTACCCCGGATCTTCACGGGTCTACCCATGTAGGGAATCCAAGTGAGCGAGCGCTAACCACATACCACCCCACCACCCAAATATATTAACGATAAAATATACTTGCCATGATACTGTCACAAAACTTTGTAGGTTGAAATTATGCATCGGTATCATTGATATCATGATTGTTGTTAAACATAAGTCACCAAACGTCAGGACATGGTAGCAGCCAAACAATCCCCCTGCTCATAATTAGTCTGCTGTCGTGACAAACATGAATTACTTAGAATATTTTCTGACCATGAATCTCAAAGGGCGCGTTTCAATCTGCTGTTCTATGTCTATCATGAAGCACTTCAGGGCATAAACAAACTCAAATGGTAAACCTTAGTACCTGTATGCATTCAATCACATTTGTCAGGCAAATAATTAGAGATAAACATTGTAGGAACAACAAAAGGTATGGATTATATTCGACTTTACCCCATCTTCACTTCACACACCGCAGTGTTCAATATTCGTCATTTTGACTGTAAAATCTGTTCAGTTCTTTAACAGACTAAAATTGATTAAGACGATCAAAAGGGCCTAAAAACATCACAACAGATTATTATGTTCGATTAAAAGCCAAACAATATAGAAATCGTAACATTTTCAGTCTCTTGGTGATGATATTAAACATAACAATGTTTAGAATTCGTGTCATGATAATACAGATGGACATATTTTAATCAAGTTGTAAAATAACTGAAAAGTCAGGCGTTTAATAAATTTCCTAAGTGAAAATGTTGCAAATTTAAAATGGAAAAATCTGAAAACGATAAAATAAGCAATGCTCAGGAGAAATATTTACTTTGTGTTGCAAGTTAACACAAAGATACCTACATTTCCTTATTATTTCCCAAACTGTATTTCATTTTGTTGATCAATGTGATCATACGCCCTTATATATACTGTCAATAAAAGTGACAAATGCGCTTACGAATTGCGCAGCACAGGTCGCGAACTAGTCTAGGTTTCTGCTATATCATCCGGGTGCACATGGGTAAAAACAATAACAAAGGCAACAACCAGTCCCGGGGAATTGCTTTAGATCAGTGCCCTTTTAAGGTGTGAGATCATTTGGCGTCAGGATATATATTGAGTGTGAGTGAGTCTTGGGTCTTTGGCGTGACAAGCGAACGCTTTAACCAACTAGGCTACCCGACCGCCCCTCAGGATATAAAACAAGAGTTAGCTACAAGATTTAATGTCATTTGACAAGGACAAGTTAAGTTCGTATTATAAAAGGATTCTATTTTGGATGGCTTACCTCGCATTTCCCATACCAAATTGTTAACGTCTTTTCCGTAACCACGGATTTGATCCTCATAGAACCCAAACTCTTTCTGCTGCAAGCTGCGATCTTGAATGTAGTGGGGGTCTGGGTACCCATGGTGATTGGGGTCTTGGTGCCACTGTTTAACGTAGTTAAAATTATGCAATGATATTATAATGCAGCTGGTAAACAATACTATCTCAACGCATGTTCTTCAATGATGATGCCCATCAAATCTAGAGGGGTTTAACGGTATTCCAGATACATCACGGCGTGTCAGCTTAATGTGAGAGGAAAGCCAGGATGCAGGTCTCAGACATTTAACACTTTCGGGAAGCACTCGAACACGGGTATGTAACTGACAAGCCCAGAAATATAATCGTGGCGAACCGGGATTCGAACGCACGACCATAGGTTTCTTGCGTGACCAAGGTACGCAATCCTGCACAAATTACGGCGCCTTAGACGACTGGGCCAGCCGTGACACCATACACATTTAATGTATTACAATGCGGCAATTACATGGCAATAACACATACAGTAAACTACTTTTATAACGAACACGCTTATAACGAACTTACCGATATAACAAACTTATTTTTGTCCCGGTCATTTGTTGCATATATGTTGTATATATGCTTAAAACGAACTACGGTTATTGCGAACTAAAATTAGTCGTCCCTTTGCGTTCGTTATAACCGTAGTTTACTATAGTTGCCATTGTACCTACGTTGTGGAAGAGATTAAGATACAGGCCAGCCGTGAAACCATACACATTTAATGTATTACATTGTTTAATTATACTGTGCGACAATTACATGGCAATAACACATACAGTAAACTACTTTTATAACGAACACGCTTATAACGAACTTACCGATATAACAAACTTATTTTAGTCCCGGTCATTTGTTGCATATATGTTGTATATATGCTTATAACGAACTACGGTTATTGCGAACTAAAATTAGTCGTCCTTTTGAGTTCGTTATAACCGTATTTTACTGTAGTTGCCATTGTACCTACATTGTGGAAGAGATTAAGATTCAGGTCAGCCGTTACACCATACACATTAAATGTATTACATTGTTTAATTATACTGTGCGGCAATTACATAGTTAATCTCATCCTCGTGTCTTTTGATATCAAATATAATCAACACGAGTTGGTAAACGTGGGGAAACTCCGAGGCTTGCCGAGGATTTTTTCCCACTTTTATCAACGAGTGTTGATATATTTGAGATTTTTTTTATCATCCAACATCATTCTCCCAGCTTGTTTAGTTTGTAGACAGTAATAAGCAGTGTCTTAAGTGTAAAAAGTACTGCTAACAGCTTCAGTAGCAGAGCCATCAGTGATGTCATTCGATTGTGACGTCATGGTAACTGTGGGAGCCAGTTTTGGATAATATATGGCAAAACACATAGTTGCAAATGTACTTACGTTGTGGAGGAGATTGAGATACAGGCCAGCCGTGGCACCATACACATTTAATGTATTACATTGTTGAATTATACTGTGCGGCAATTACATGGCAATAACAGAAAGTTGCCATTGTACCTACGTTGTGGAAGAGGCTGAGATACAGGTCAGCCGTGACACCATAAACATTTAATGTATTACATTGTTTAATTATACTGTGTGGCAATTACATGGCAATAACACATAGTTGCAATTGTACCTACGTTGTGGAAGAGACTGAGATACAGGCCAGCCGTGGCACCATACACATTTAATGTATTACATTGTTGAATTATACTGTGCGGCAATTGGATGGCAATAACAGAAAGTTGCCATTGTACCTACGTTGTGGAAGAGGCTGAGATACAGGTCAGCCGTGACACCATAAACATTTAATGTATTACATTGTTAAATTATACTGTGTGGCAATTACATTGCAATAACACATAGTTGCAAATGAACTTACGTTGTGGAAGAGATTGAGATACAGGTCACTGTTGATCCAGCGCCCCGCTACAGTACCATAAGCTTTACACTTCGGAATAAGACGTGGCTGGTCGAACCCGTTGTGTTTGTTCCACCTGTCCACCTCATAATGGACTCGTCCACCCTGGGAATGCCACTCATTGTAGATAGTGAATTTGGTGTCGGAGAGCACCTCCCCACACAGCAAGACTGACAACAACGCTACCACCGGCACCATCTGCATGGCTATACTCGTTCAGGTGAGACGAGCGTCTATATATAGATACACTGAGACACAACCAGTATGAATAGCACACGTGTTATGGGCATGTTGTCTTCGTGTTATGTGAGTGATTTAGTTGCCTAGTTACCGACTTACCATGGTATTGACCGGACAGGTGTTTAACCTTGATTCTGTAGCAATGTAATTCGGATCATGGTGAAATGATAAGGAACTGACCGATATTCTAGGGTGGGAAAGCGGTCCTGGGATTTTGTATGGAGACTTGATATGAGTGACGGCCAAAAGAAACGTTACAAACGATATTTCTAGGATAGAATATGACCAACACAATTTGAAGCAGCAATAACAATTGTATTGTAGAAATTCATCATTCAGAACAGTAAAATGCGAATTTACTAATTCAACAACAAAGTCCTTGACCTCCAAAAGGGACATTTCTTGACAAGGGTTTTTTCGTCCAGTATTCGATCAACAACATTGGTTACAACTTTAAGGTGACGACGGCCCAGACTGTTCAATACGGGATATGACCTCCATGAGCGGCAATGCATCTTCGAATGCGGCGTCGAACTGAGTAGACAAGCGTCCTCACATCGACTGCAGGTATCAGATTCCATTCCTCACGGAGGGCAACGATCAACGCTTGTCTCGTGAACGGAGGACGTTGACGTTTCCGAAGACGACGCCCCAGCTGGTCCCAGAGATGTTCTATGGGTGACAGATCTGGTAATTGAGCTGGCCACGGCGGGACAGTCACGTTATTGGCGTTGAGGAAGTCTCTGGTATTACGGGCTTTATGGGGTGTGGCGTTATCTTGTTGGAACACCGTCCGTTGTTGACGCTGGATGAAAGGAAGAACCACTGGCCGTAAGATATTGTCAATGTAGCGTTGTGCTGTCAGATTGCCTTCGATGATGACAAGTTCCCCGCAAATGCCGCCCCAGACCATCACACTTCCGCCCCCGTAAGGTTCCACCTCCTGGACACAGCCGTACGTTCACCACGTCGGCGATAAACTCGCGTCCGCCCATCAGGTTTGAAGAGTTGGAACCTGCTCTCGTCACTAAACAGCACTCGCCGCCATTCCCTTTGTTGCCATCGCTGAGTTTGCCTGCACCACGTCAATCTGCCACGTCGATGTTGACGGGTCAAGGTCATGCCCTTAAGCCCGGAGACCACAATGTCGTTGTCGTCTGGTCACTGTTTGTCTGCTGACCGGATGTCCTAAGCTGTTGGCAGCTGATGACGTCACAGTAAGAAATCTGTTCCTCAGATGAAGTACCCATAAAAAGCGGTCATCCTGCGGGGTCGTGACCTTTGGTCTGCCACTCCGTGGTCTGTCTGCGATTCTGCCAGTCTGTCGGAGACGTGCGACCAGTCTGGTAATGGTCATCTTGGAGCAGTTCATGTTAATGACAACCGCTATCTGAGTCGCTACCATCTGCAGCATACCTATATGGCTCTCTCCCTCTGGACAGCGGTCAGTATTGGTATATTCGTTGGTGTTAATCATTGCAACCAATGATAGGGAACAGATCCGTGCGTAATTTATACCCGGAAATTGCACGATAATTTGGGAAAGAATGTTTTAAAAAATCACTGACAAACACCAATATCTCCCCAAATCCGCAAAACACGTGCAAAGAACGACAGAGAACAGGAAGGCTGTATTCGTGAGATGTGTTCTTTACTGTTTTTCAACTAGGTTGGCATCTTTGTTTCAAAGTGGCAAATCAGTTAATGTTGGTAACGTTTCTTTTGGCCCTCGGTTTATCTTCAATTACAGCCGTGAAACCAGATATTATGAACCTAAATAGTCTTTTAAAGAAAAAACACATTGAAACATTATAATAAAGTGGCAGATGATTACTCATTTGGCAACAGTCTACAGTTTATTATATCCCATAAAACCCTCCTCCGCCAAACCCTCCAACCACACACACACCGAATATCAAGTGGTCAAATAAAGCCTAAAGCTGACCTACTGCCACGACCTCCTTTGTGGAATAGTATTTGACCATACGTGTCATTAAGTTACTCGAAACATTTCGATCCTAGTATTGAAAAATGACCTCCATGAATGGGAAGATAAACAATTATTCAACGGAAAGCATATGTCTACACATCATTGGATTTAGGCAAAGTTAATAGCATTAAACCAGCCTAATAACACATTTTTTACACTTCTCTTGCCGATTAATGTGCACAATCAACTAAGTTATACTTGCCTTGCCTTAAAAAGTGCAAATCGCATGACCTCATGGGTATACACAATATTCAGATTTGGATAAATCGTAACACCATTAAACAAAAGTCGTACTCAAAACATCGAAAGCGGTGCGTATATAAAGTGCAGGTACTTAGTCCTTTCTATCAATTTAATAGCCTTAAACGAAAATACAGCGGAGATAGAGCCTTTATATATAGAGGCTCTATATATAGTCTTGGAAGAGAGTGACCGCCTCCGTGGTCCAGTGGTAGAGCGTCCGCCCGGACAGTGGAAGGTCCGGGGTTCGATCCCCGGCCGCGTCATACCAAAAGACGTTAAAAGATGGTACTGGTTGTTACCCTGTCTGGCGCTCGGCACGGAGGGGCTAAAATAAGGACTGGTCGGCTCGGAGTCAGTACGCTGTGTCTGAGTGGAGTACTAGTATTCATGTTAAACTCAGTGGGCTAGCACTAGCGGACCGGACTAGTACAAGCAGCCACACACATACCATCTTCCCAAGGCAAAGGAGTTAACTGACTATAAAAGTCCAGTTTCCACCCTTGCCGAACTAGGCTGGTATTATGGAGTTACATTTTGGCTGGACTAACGAGTCTATGCATAGTCCAATCAAAATCGCGCACCGAAATCGAAATCCGGTTCGTAAACTGTCGTGCAGATTTCGGTCGATTGCAGGATTTGCAAAGCATGTGCACCGCCAACTGTTGTCTGCAGATATTTTCCCAATCTTTTCATGTTTTTAATCAAGGTGCTAACGTGATTTGATGCATTTCGCTATGTAAGACCCGTTTTATCACAATATAGATCTCGATTATCGATCAGATCGTCCTGACTGGGCGCCACCATTTTGTGTGAAACAAACGCAAGTGATACGACAGGTGGAATCTGATTGGTCCATAGGAGAGGCTTAGAAGGGACGTAATTGGTAATAGCCACTGTTGGCGCTACGATAAAGCCCAGTAATTCCAGCCTTGTTCGGCAAGGGTGGAAACTGAACTCTTAAAGCCAGTTAACCCTCTTGCCTCGGGAAGATGCACACATACGCACATGCACGTCGCTATATAGGTGCAATGATCTTGGACGCGACGTTAAACCCAATCTCACCGCACCTCACCTCACCTCTTGGAAGAGAAGGGGCGGTCGGGTAACTATAGCCTAGTGGTTGAAGCGTTCGCTCGTCACGCCAAAGACCCGGGTTCGATTCCCGACATGGGTACAAAGTGTACAATGTGTGAAGCCCATTTTTGGTGTCCCCCGCCATGATATTGCTGGAATATTGTTAAAAGCGGCGTAAAACCATACTCACTCACCCACTCACTTGAAAGAGACACCTCCAAAATTACACGCTTGATCGCACAAGACCGCCCCTTCGTTCGCACCAAAGCAAGCATGCCTCCATTCACGGTCATGGTCGATTGCACAGGTTCTCGGCAAAGCAATCCTACTTCACCCTTTATAACCTTTACATTCTCATATCCATAATCAATCAACGACCATAAATGATTGATTTATTAATTGTAAATAGGCATACATGTAAATCTATGGGAGAGGGCGTTCTAAGTTGTGATAACTTGTGCCCAATCCTTTTCATGGGAATAAAATTTAAACTCAAAGGACTAAAAAATACGCCTTTTTCTATTAACAACGGAAATGTGACAAATGTCTTTTATATAACAAACTGAGTTCAGTATTCGGTGAGTGAGTGACTGAGTGAGTTGGGTTTAATGCCGCTTTTAACAGTATTCCAGTTATATCACGGCGTGTCAGCTTAATGTGGGAGGAAAGCCCGAAGTGATGCAGGTCTCAGACGTTTACCACTTCGGTGAAACCCACGGGCACGGGTACGGTGCTAACAAACCTAGAAACATAATCGGGGCGAACCGGGATTCGAACCCACAATCAAAGGTTTCTGGCGTGCCCAAGGGAGGCAACTCTGCACAGGGAATCGCGGCGTCTTAGACGACTGGGCCACCCGTGGCCCCAAGTATTCGGTGAGCAAATGATGTGCGAAACAAGCTATTTCTTCAATCTATTGTTTGCGTTTCGGTACTTTCATCTATTTTGTTGTGAGACTTTTGCTTGTTAAACATTTCGCTTATTTTTATGTATTAAATGATGTAGCATCGATCGTTCCTTGTGGGGGGATCATGAGCTGAAATCGACCAGAACATGCCCAACTCTGACACTGACAATAGTTTTCTAGTTATCATGGAATGTGAAGGTTTTTGGGAGGTTGAACTGGTGATTTCCGAGGAAGAAGAAAACGTAAACCTCTACATGTTTGTTTGTTTGTTTGGTTTGTTGTTTAACGCCGCACTCAGCAATATTCCAGCTTTATGACGGCGGTCTGTAAAATAAACGAGTCTGGACCAGACAATCCAGTGATTGACATCATGAGCATCGATCCACCCAATTGGGATCGATGACATGCATCAACCAATTCAGCGAGCCTGACCACCCGTTCCCGTTAGTCGCCCTTTACGACAAGCATAGTCGCTACATGTTTGGACCTGTGACCGACAATGTTGACGATAATAACCAGGATGGTCCCAATCTTGGACGCATGGATCACAAGTGATTGCAAAACACAGATTTGTTAGTTTGTCTAGTTTGTGTCACTTGCTGACGTGTTACATTATCTTATCTGGACTGACTGCTGACATAAATAAAACAATAATCTTCTTTAGGTGCAGTTAAATCAAGGTTACTTGACGCGCCTCCATAAGCCATACTCTTGACATTGTTTTGTTAGGTCTCCCCATTACTAATGGCACGATCGAGTATATTCTGT